GGAGGGGGTGGTCCTGGGAGCCAGCCTAGACCTGGCACTCACTGTCCCTCTGCAGAGGCGCACCTGGAGCAGTGCCAGGGCTGGCCAGACGGGCTGGGAGCCTGCCAGCTGCCAGGAGGGGCCAGGGCTTAGGCAAGTGGGGTGGGAGGAAGCTGTGCCTGGGGGGTGAGGCAGAGCCAGCTTGAGACGGCAGGGTGGTCCCCAAGGGCTTTTGAAGTGCCCTGAGAGCATCAGTGCTCAGACAGGTGGCAAGAGCTGTGAGGAGGCTAAGGGAAGGTTAATCAAGGTTAACAAGTGTGTTTGGGGGTGTTTAATGAAGCAGCCAGGGAGAGGCCCTGTGTCCGGCCCTTTCCAGCCAGCCCCCAGCGTTCCCTAGTGCCAGGAGGGCATCAACCCCTCCAGCCACAGCCCCTGAGCCAGCTCCTCTGCTTGCCAGGCTAAGAGCCGCACAGCTCCTGAGCCCATCGGAGCAGGGGCTGTCTCTGTTCCCCAATCACACAGTGCCGCCAGCTTCAGGTCCCAATTCAGACCATCACCATCTGCCAGGGAAGGGCTCCCTGGCCCCGGCCCCAACCCGGGTCCCACTGGCTCCATTTTAAATGCCACCAGTGGAACAAATTTAGCCTAGACTTCTGCTTCCACACCCCGTGGGGCTGACACAAGGGTGCTCCCCATGGCTTGGGCTGGGATGTTACCACCGTGAGGCTCCCCTGAGCTTGGATTGCCAAGACCCTGAGTTTAAGGGCCTGGTCTTCACAGGATGGGCACCAAACACCCGCTGGAAGACTCGGGGGTCTCCTACAGGCACCTGGATCTCTCCTGAAAGCCCCCCAGCTCAGAGTCACGGCTGCACAAGAGTCTCCAGGTTCCTGCTGGACTAGGGGAGGGTGAGGGGGGTTCTTCCCAGGCCTGGGGGTGACCTGCAGGGCCGGTGCCAGCTGGCAGAAGCCCCAGGTGCATCCCAGGGCTCAAGGCAGAGGTCACCAGCACGCCCATGGCTCTAGGTTCAGGGGGCATTAGTGCTGCGGGGTTAGAGGAGCCTGGAGCAGACGGTGCCAGGAGGACAGGGTTAGCGGGCACGGCACCAGCAGGGGGGTTGCGCAGAGGGGAAGTCGGGTCCTTACCAGCTCCTTGGTCCCCAGAGGTGAGAGGCAGAGAGTTAAGAGGGGGAAGGGAGGGGAAAGAGAGAAACAAAAACCGGATTAGCAGCTCATCATGCACTGGGCCCCGTGTCATGTGCCCCCAGTGCCCGCCGCGGCCCGGCCCAGTTAGTAGGGAGATCCGGGGTGGGGGGTTAGAGCCTGTTAGGTCCGGCGTTCCTCGGGGGTTACGGGGTTAGGTAGCAGAGGTGAAGGGGGAGGAAGAGGAGCAGGGAAGCAGCAGGGCCGGGGCTCTCACAAAAGGCTGAAGAATGCCCGCGGAGACCCCGCACAGAGGCCCAGACTCCCCCCAGCCTGACTACGGCAGCTAAGGGGCAATCAGACTGGCACCGGCCTGGGCCAAGATTGGGCTCTGCCAGACCGCCCTCATGAGCAGCTGCTAACAAGCGCCCCCAGTGTTTCCAGAGGAAATGCTGGTGGGGGTCCCTGCTGCTACTGCCCAGGGCGGGGAGGGGGCGGGGGGCAAGCAGAGGAGAGGGGAGATCTGAAGGGAGCCAGTGCTGAACCCCAGGACCACCCGAGGGCCCCGAGTCTGAGCCCAGAGGCCGTGGTGCGCTCCCACCACCCCTGCCCCCGCTGCCTGCCCGCAACACCCCCATCAGCCCTGAGGGTCCCAGGAGATGGGGCACAGGCTGGCACTTGAGCTCAGCCGCCTGCTGTCCTACCCACGTCCACTCTGGCTTTGCCCTGGCCCAGCTCGCAGCCTTGGCAGGAGTAGGTAGACTGCCTGGGGCTCCTGACTTTAACCTGGGTGAAGCTGGAAGGTCCCAGACAGGGGCTCCCTGTCCCTCACCCTGAGTCCCTTGCATAGGTGCCCCCAAGGGCCAGGTTCCAGCATGCCATGCTCCGTGCCAGGGGTGCACAGTGCCTAGGTGCATGCTGGGAGCTTTCCAAAACCCTTGAACCCCTCCCCCCATGACCTCACAAAGCCCCTGGGCTTGACCATGGGTGCCCATGGCTCCGGCTCACTCCCTGGCTATCTCCCTCCCCATTACAGCCCCAGCCCCACCTGCTGCCCCCCTGCTGTCCTACATGACCGGGGAGCAGGCAGAAGCATGGCGAGGCAGACAGGCAGCACATGCGTGCCCAGGGGACAGGGGCATGCAGGAGAGAAGCATTGTAAGGGGCTTACTTGTGCAAACTAGTCCCAGCAGGGTGGTGGAGGGGGAAGAGCGGAGGAACACAGGTAAGTCCCACTGCGTGACGCTCAAGAGACACAATTAAGCTGTGTTAGCGGTGTGGGGGGGCTCCCCCGGGAGGGGAGCAGGGACCAGCTAGAGTGGGCAAAGCGGGGTGCACGAGGCTGAAGAGGCCTGGTGCCACTCTCCAGGCTGGTTCACGGAGAAGGGGCCAGCGCATGGCCTGGGGCGAGGGGCTGGGAGCAAGGCCACTGACTAATGCCCTGATGGAGCCCCGGGTCACGCAGCAGTGGGGATGCCTGGGTTCAGAGCAGCCCCAGCTGCAAGGGGCAAGCTCGTCGGCTGCAGAGGAGACTGAGCTTGGGATAAAAGCCCAGGCCTTGGTGGGGGGCTTTGGTTTCTCAGCCTGCAGTACGTGGGCCTCCCCTGCTTGGGGGTCCTGGATACCCCGGCCCCTGGCTCAGCCCTGACTACGGATGTGGATTTGACTCAGCCACTGGTGTGGATTGTCCTCCAACTCAGGTTCCTGCAACCCCTCTATGCTCCTCCCACCAGCCCCTGCCCCGTCCTTCCAGCGTGCTGCTCAGACCCCAGACCCCCTGCAATGGCTTGGGAGGGGCAGTGGGACCAACCCCCCGCCCTGCTCACGGCACCCCTGAGCCGGGCACGGGGCAGGCTGAAGCCAACGGCGGGACTGAAGGGTGCGGGGCTGCCTCCTCAGGGTCTCCGGACACAGGGAACATGCACCTGGCAGCAGCCCGGGGCCTGGCACGGATGCACACGCGCACACACGCAACGTGCTGCCTTGCCCAGCTGTGCCAACCTGCAAGAGCTGCGTCGCATGCACCAAGCGCCGGCATCGCCCGGAGGGGCTGGAAGTGCTGTGCCCTCCCCGAGCCCCCTCCCCAACCCCCTCGAAGCAGCCGGAGGCTGAGCCCACCCTGTGGCGTGTCTGCCGGGCTCTGGGCGCTGGGGGCCAGAGCCCTGCTTGGCTCCCACCTGCTTCCCCCTTCAGGCTACCAGTATCGGGGAGGAGGGCTGGGACCTGGGGTCCTTGGGCTCTGCAGGACCCCCAGCCAGGCGTATTCCACCCCCCCACTCGAGCGTCTCTCTCCTCCGAGCAGCCCCCGGCTCCCCTCGGCTCTGACCTACTTTCTAGCTCGCTCGCTTCTGTGAAGAACTTGGCTTCCTGTTTTTACCCCAGGGGAGCTCTTTCCTGCCCCTCCTCATCGTACAGGCTTGAAGCGCCCCCCATCTTACAGGCAAGCACCGCTGCACCCAGCTTGACCCCAGTCAGCTGCCCCCTTCCTACCCTCTGGGGCAAGAGCATCGTTCCTGTCTT